GAAAACATTGGAAATCAATGACCCTCTAGAAGTCCACTTTAATGAGGAACTGATCTCTTCTAGCTCAAATTTTGAATTTTCTTCTACAAGTGTTGAGAGCCACAGCCAAGTCAAGTAGACACCTGGCACTTTGGCAGCAGGAGTGGTTTGAGAAGTAACACCAGCGAGCTATTAAGTTGATGAGGATTCCTTAATGACTGACTGCTGTATCTAGATGATGTTAATTGAGTTAAGCTGTGTCTAATTATTAAGATGATGAGGATTCCTTAATGACTGATTGCTGTAATTAGATGTTAATTGAGATAAGCTGTGTGTATTTAGTTGAGTATATATACCTGTGCTGTTCTGAATAAAGAGGCTCCCGCTGTTTCAAACTTCACAAGTTGCTTGTCGCCCCCCCGGCTACTTTGCACAGCCCAGCCAGACTGTGGCACAAGTTATGTTCAAAATCAAATGGATTTACAAACACAGGGTTTCTCTCAGTTGTCCTCAACTCTTCAAAAGAATGAGTGATAATCTCCCACGTTCACACATGTATAGTGTCTCTACAGTATGAGACTTCACAAAATGACACTTCAAAAATTGCATTAGTTCAGAAAAAGTCTTGCAGAGATTCCCTTACTCCTTACATTTATATGTTGTCCTTTGTGTGAATGTTCACGTCTTGGAAAGTAGGCTGGACAAATAAAGGCTTTCCCACATTCCTTACATTCATATGTTTCTCTCCAGTATGGCTTCTCACATGTCTCCCAAAGGATGAGGGAGAACTGAAAGCTCTTCCACACTCCAGACATTCAAAGGGTTTTTCTCCAGTGTGCATTCTTGCATGTATAGTAAGGTATGAAGAATGTCGAAATGCCTTCCCACATTCCTTACATTCATATGGTTTTTCCTCAGTGTGGGTTCTCATGTGGATACTAAGAGCTGAGAAACAAATAAAGGCTTTCCCACATTTTTTACATTTATAAGGTTTCTCTCCAGTGTGAGTTCTTGTATGTACTGTAAGATAGGAAGAACTAATGAAGGCTTTCCCACATTCCTTACATTCATATGGTTTCTCTCCAGTATGGCTTCTCACATGTCTCCCAAAGGATGAGGGAGAACTGAAAGCTCTTCCACACTCCAGACATTCAAAGGGTTTTTCTCCAGTGTGCATTCTTGCATGTATAGTAAGGTAAGAAGAATGTCGAAATGCCTTCCCACATTCCTTACATTCATATGGTTTTTCCTCAGTGTGGGTTCTCATGTGGATACTAAAAGGTGAGAAACGAATAAAGGCTTTCCCACATTTTTTACATTCATAAGGTTTCTCTCCAGTGTGAGTTCTTCTATGTACTGTAAGATAGGAAGAACTAATGAAGGCTTTCCCACATTCTTCACACTCATAAGGCTTTTCTCCACTGTGAGTTCTTAGGTGTTCAGTGAGGGATGAGGAACGACTAAAGGCCTTCCCACACTCCTTACATTCATATTGCACCTTACCATTGTGATCTCTCATGTGTGCTTTAAAGGATGAGGGACAACTGAAGACCTTCCCACATTCCTTACATTCATAGGGTTTCTCTCTACTTTGATTTTTCACATGTGTGTTCAGGGAAGTGGGAAGATAGAAGGCTTTTCCACATTCCAGACATTCATAAGGTTTCTCTCCAGTGTGTTTTCTCATGTGGATACTTAAGGAGGAGGGGCAATTGTAGGCTTTCCCACATTCCTTACATTTATAGGGTTCCTCTCCGGTGTGTGTCCTCATATGTACAGTGAGTTTTGAGGATTCACTGAAGGCCTTCCCACACTCTTTACATTCATAAGGTTTCTCTCCTGTGTGAATTCTTATATGTCTTATAAGATGAGAGGAACAGCTAAAGGCCTTCCCACATTCCTTACATTCATATGGCTTATCTCCACTATGAATTCTTTTGTGTTTGGAGAGTGATGAGGAACAACTAAAGGCCTTCCCACATTCCTTACATTCATAGGGCTTATCTCCACTGTGAATTCTTTTGTGTTCTGTGAGGTGGGAAGAACTACTGAAGGTTTTCCCACATTCCTTACATTCATGGTTTGCCTTTTCACTATGAATTTTCATATGTGCTCTGAACATGGAGG